GTTTGAAGACGTTTTGCTTCCCATCCAGGAAGCTTTTTCAATTCAAAAAGTTAAGTGGTTTTCTGGAATATAATAGACCAGAATAGAAAATCCCTTTATTGTCCCACAACGGGGAAATTGTGTTGTTACAGCAGCAAACGGTTATAGCAAAAGTGGTTACAATATGTGGACCTTAGAAAAGTGTATAAAAATAACATAATAAGTTACAGAGTTAGGAAAATAAAATACTCAATTGTACAGTGTTTTTACAATATGAATACTGTGCATCTGGAGAATAAATAATCAATATACAGCTGTGGACATTGTTACAGTAATGGATATGTGAAAAATAACAGCAACACCAGAGATGTGCAAAATCTTCCTTTTTATGTATTCTGCACTAATCTGGATAACAGGGAGGCCATTTTGGAATCTGAAATGTATCTACTAAGCATTCTTGAACCTTTGTTATCTTGCACAAACTAGAAATTTGAAGCTAAATCAGAAATATAATGCTATGTTTGGAAGGTTTACGAACAAAGAATTTTAGATATTTCCTTAATGTGAACAAAAGACCACATGATGTGTCCTTTCGGGTTTCTAAACCAAGTCAAACTATGCAATGACTGTCCTTACATAGTCAGTTTGAGGTGCTAATAGTGCTAACAGGCTATTAGCCTTTATATCAACATAGACAAACAGCTAATTTAAAAGATGCAGAGGATTCCATGGTTACTATGGTTCCTCTTCAGGTGCATCATCGCATAATTTAAAAACAAACTAAAATTCATCGCTAAAGACACATTTTCCCAGACTTCACTCTGCGAAAGCACCTTTTTTGACGACTTCTTGATCTGTAAGAAGAATTAGAGTCTCGAAGTGCCCGACCAACGTTGAATTGGAAGCTTTGAACATGAAAGATGTGAGAACTGAGTTTTCTAACACTCTGCATGGTTTTCTGTGTGATTTATTGGCTAAAATGTTACAAATCTTAAAGTTGAATGATGGTTAAACTACATAGTATTAAAGAAACATGTCTTAAGTCAGAGTAAATGTGTTACTACATGGGAAGGAAACAGAGAATTGAGCAAATATACTGATATAAAGTAAAGTGGTCACAATTTTTTAAGATGAGACCTGATTTTATCATTTTTTTTCTGTAAAGCTGCTGAAATAAGAAGCTTCCAACTGTTACTTTTAAGTATTTCTGTGACAAAAATAAAATTAATAGAAATTAAATAGCCAAACTTTGATAGTTGATAGTTGGCGAAAACTTCAGAAACAATATTTTTAACACAATGTAGCTACTTGATGTCCACTAAGTGTTGGCATGTATGTGGAAAGATCTAAGTGGGCTGATAGTTTCAAGGCTCTGAAGCCTGCAGTTGGTCTGTATTTATATCAAGCATGTGATGCATGTTGTAAAACTACCAGCAGAACAGGTTATAGCATAGCATCTGCTCTCTCTGTGCTGCGTTTTTGGCCAGTACAGCATGTAAGTTGATGTGAAGGGTGTATTTCATGTATGTACATATAGTACTATGTTTCATGCTGTGTTTGGTGGTTTATTGGAAGAAAGGTCACCGAGAAGAGAAGTTTAAAAAGACGCTAGCATACGCGCTAACTAGCTGTTAGCGATGCCGCTAGCTAGCGGCTAATGTTAACATGTTGTTTGTGTCATTATGTGTTTCTGTGCATATTCAGGGAATATGTTGAGTTTATTATTTAGGAGAATTGTGCCTGTTTATTTGGAATTGTGCCTGTTTACACAAAGACTTATGCACATTATTTCTTTGTTGTAGTTTTACCATTCATTCATCCATCCATACCACCCAATAAATTAAAAGAAAAGGCTTACGGTGTGGTTATTGCAAATTATGGTTATCTACCTGCTAAGCTAAGAGTGAGGGCAGGACGTAAATTATTTTTTTGTGGCTAATGGTCACTAGAATGTTTTTAAGCTCAACATGTCCAGTATTAAAATTCAAAACCTCTATTTACAAATATGCTCTGTTTTTTGCGAAGTGAAGCCAGCCAATCCTGTTCGCGTATGCAAATTAGCCATGTGCTTTTCCGCAGTTAATAACACGGGCAAAGCAGAACAGACTGCGCAAAGACAGCAGGTCTTCACTCCTGTTTGTGGACCTCAACGGACCTCCTCTGGACAAATTCGACCAATTTCCGTTCGTCAGAAACTGGATTAAAGCAGGACATGTGCGTGCATGAAAGAGAGAGACAGACAGACAGACAGTCTGGAAGATGGAAGTCCAGTTGGATAGCACAGGTTTAGAGAACCTGTCCATGATGAGCAAGCATGAAGCAACAGTGGAGAGGAAAAACTCCCCGTTGGGAAGAAACCTCTAGCAGAACCAGGCTCAACATGGCGGCCTTCTGCCGGACCGGTTACGATGAGACAGGGAACGCAGTAAGAGTCCGCGAGGAGTGACAGTCTGTTAAAGCTTTAGCTGCGATGATGGAGGAGGGGCTTGAGGTGGGTTGAAACGGTGTCATCTGAATGAAGTCACACAGCGCTTCCACAGCCTGCACACAGGAGCAGACAGGTGCGTATCGGAGGCATTTTAAGATGAGCTTTGGATGCCGATTGGCTTTCGTGGAGATGTGGTTCAAAGCTGATTGGCTGTGTCACAGGTGGAACAAGTTTCTTCAGTTGAATTTCTGCCTAGGCTCCATTTCTATGACAAAAATAAAATTAATAGAAATTAAAAAGCTAATCCTTCACTAAACTATTTTAAAGTGTTTGCTGCTTCACTTTGACAGTTGATAGATGGCAAAAACTTGAGAAACAATATTTTTAATACGATGTAGCTCCTTGATGTCCACTAAGTGTTGGCATGTATGTGGAAAGATCTAAGTGGGCTGATAGTTTCAAGGCTCTGAAGCCTGCAGTTGGTCTGTATTTATATCAATCATGTGATGCATGTTGTAAAACTACCAGCAGAACAGGTTCATAAAACCGGAATGAGATTTTAACTCTTTTGTCGAAAGCCTGGATTCCCTAATTTTGTTTTATTTTTTAACTTTAATTTTTTGAATAGTTTACAAAACTCTCCCAGAAAAGTAGACTAAATGTTTATAATAAAGATTACATCAGCCTGTAAATTGAACCCAGAAGAACGAAAGATTGTTGAAGAACCTCTAATGAAAACTGTTTTGTGATTTTAAATATTCAAAGGAAATGGGAAAATAGATATTAATGTGCTGTAATGTTGAAGGTGTATTTATATTTTCTGGGTTTTGCATAGAAATAAGCTCACTTTGATCAAATCAAATTAGGTTTTGAGCAGAAAATAATCAAATGTCATCAGTATATTGTAAAAAAAAACCCACCTATTTTAGCTGTTTTAGTTTATCAGTGATTTAAAATAAAATTAGATGCAATCTTCAGCATCGTTAGACATCAATAGTGTTACATAATATATTTTTACATTGCTTAATAGTTTTTTTTGTTTGTTTCTTATTTCTGCTGTTTAGAATTAATCTCACATTATTTAACATACACAGCCTCAGTCTAATGTGTGTTTTATCATTTTGGTCTTCCTGTCAATTTTTGTGTCAATCAGAGAGCAGCGAGAACTTTAGCGGGAATGACTAACAGAAGAAAAAAATAAAATAAAACAAAAATTTATGTTAGAACTGTAAATAAACAGTCATATGTTTATATTACTATTTTTATGTATTTATTACTGTTTTCAAGGCTGCACTTAAAAAAATGAAATTGTCTAGAGCTGTTTTAAGTTTGTTTACAAAATGACAAAATAAATCTAAGTCTATTTCTGCTGTTTAGAATTAATCTTACATTATTTAACATACACAGCCTCAGTCTAATGTGTGTTTTATCGTTTGGTCTTCCTGTCAATTTTTGTGTCAATCAGAGAGCAGCAAGAACTTTAGCGGGCAGGACTAACAGAAAATGTCCATGCTGTCAAGATGAGCAGGTAAAATCTAATTCTCTTTTAAAAAAAACTACTATTGATACATTTAACATAACAATAAATCTTTGGAAAAGAAGCAGATTCTGTGATAAAGTAAATATCCCAGTAGACAACTTACCGTACCACACTTAGATGATCTGCTGTGTGGTTTTAGTGAATGAACTTCTAAGTAGGTTCTACTCCAAACTTTCTTATCTTCTCCAGACTAGAAAACGCCATCGCTCTCCTGACTCTGCCAGTCCTGCCCAGAAGAGGAGTCGTTCAAAGGCAGCCAGTCCGTACCAACCTGAAAGGCTGATTGCTAAGCCTCGGGCTCCCATCGACCCGGCAGACCTCCCAGCAGTCTCTCATCTGCCAATCCTGAACCAGTCCTCTACTGCTGCTGTGCAGGACAATCAGCCTGTGATGATTCACAATCACACAGTAGAAGAGTACCAGCAGATTTATCAGGAAGTGGTCGATGACATGCTGAGGTAAATTTATATTTATGTTGGAAGTTGGGACCTCAAAACTTAGTCTTAAAGAATTTAAAACTATTAAAGCCATGCCGTTCTGTTGTCATTTTTGAAATTTCTGCTTTTCACAGGTACAAAAGTGGACAAAGACGTCCTTACAGTCTCAACCTAGGCCGTTGTATCAAGCAAAAGCTCTGGGAGAGGATGAATAAGCCTTCATTTACAATGTCAGCTAGCCAAAATGCCCTGATTAATGTAGATATCACCTATGGCAGCAGGGAAAATCCTCCTTTTTACATCTTGGATTAATTTAAATAAAATGTCCAAGACAAACACTGAGAAAAAGAAAAACAAAACAACAACTTTGTAAATAGCTGTTAAGAGTTCAGGCTAATTCTTTATCCCTTAAATCAAACCTATCTGGATCGGAAAAAAAATCTGTCCTGGAACAAACTGATGAGTTGACCTCCACCACAAGCCTCCATCTGCAGAGATTAAAACAGCCTGCAAAACCTCAACCTCAACCTCCATCTGCAGTGTTTAAACCAGCCTGCAAAACGTCCACCTTATTCTCCATATGCAGACGATAAACAAGCCTGCAAACCCTCCACCTCAATCTCCGTCTGCAGACGATAAACCAGCCTGCAAAACCTCCACCTCAACCTCGATCTGCAGAGCTTCAACCAGCCTGCAAAACCTCCACCTCAACCTCGATCTGCAGAGATTAAACCAGCCTGCAAAACCTCAACCTCCATCTGCAGAGATTAAACCAGCCTGCAAAACCTCCACCTCAACCTCCATCTGCAGAGATTAAACCAGCCTGCAAAACCTCCACCACACTCTCCATTATGGGGTAAGATCACTATCAAAATAATTTTGTACATAAAAGCACAATTATGTGCATATAGTCAGAAGTTGTACAGAAATTTGTAAACTCATAATAATTCAAATCTCATGCAAAACATACAAATACAGTTTAAATATGTATGACTTTAACAACTAATAAACAAAAAATTCTAGTTTAAAGTTGTGCTTTGTTTTTTTTTTAATCTTTGAGAATAAAAATTCCCAACAGTGGCCTTACGTTTCAGGTTTCCCAGGCTGGTTACCGGAGCACAGAGTGCGACGATATGATCCTCTCATGCCGACTATATGTTCAACTTTGGAGCACCAAGATGACGCACTGGGAAGCTACGGAGTAAAGCCAGGTAAAATGTTTCATAAAGGTAACTTGTACTGTGGGTCGTGTACTTTTTTCATTGGATTTTCATTTTAAACACAGTTTTTTTGATAAAGTGATAATATGCTGGTGAAAATTGTCAGCCATCCAGGCCATAGTCATTCCAAAACTTTTATTAGTTTACAAAAATCTCCCAGAAAAAGTAGAATAAATGTTTATAATAAAGATTAAATCAGCCTGTAAATTGAACCCAGAAGAACGAAAGATGGTAGAAGAACCTCTAATGAAAACTTTTTTGTCATTTTAAATATTCAAAGGAAATGGGAAAATAGATTATTGTGCTGTAATGTTGAAGGTGTATTTATATTTTCTGGGTTTTGTAAAGAAATAATCCAAGCTCACTTTGATCAAATCAAATTAGAATTTGAGCAGAAAATAATCAAATGTCATCAGTATGATGTAAAAAAAAAAACCCTTTGTTTTAGTTTATCATTGATTTAAAATAAAATTTGGATGCCATCTTCAGCATCGTTAGACATCAATAGTGTTACATAATATATTTTTACATTGCTTAAAAGTTTTTTTTGTTTGTTTCTTATTTCTGCTATTTAGAATGAATCTCACATTATTTAACATACACAGCCTCAGTCTAATGTGTGTTTCATCATGTGGTCTTTCTGTCAATTTTTGTGTCAATCAGAGAGCAGCGAGAACTTTAGCGGGCAGGACTAACAGAAAATGTCCATGCTGTCAAGATGAGCAGGTAAAATCTAATTCTCTTTTTAAAACACATAAAAAAAACTTCTATTGATACATTTAACATAACAATAAATCTTTGGAAAAGAAGCACATTCTGTGATGAAGTAAATATCCCAGTAGACAACTTACCGTACCACACTTAGATGATCTGCTGTGTGGTTTTAGTGAATGAACTTCTAAGTAGGTTCTACTCCAAACTTTCTTATCTTCTCCAGACTAGAAAACGCCATCGCTCTCCTGACTCTGCCAGTCCTGCCCAGAAGAGGAGGCGTTCAAAGGCAGCCAGTCCGTACCAACCTGAAAGGCTGATTGCTAAGCCTCGGGCTCCCATCGACCCGGCAGACCTCCCAGCAGTCTCTCATCTGCCAATCCTGAACCAGTCCTCAACTGCTGCTGTGCAGGACAATCAGCCTGTGAGGATTCACAATCACACAGTAGAAGAGTACCAGCAGATTCATCAGGAAGTGGTCGATGACATGCTGAGGTAAATTTATATTTATGTTGGAAGTTGGGACCTCAACACTTAGTCTTAAAGAATCTAAAACTATTAAAGCCATGCCTGTCAGGACTCAGCTGGGAGGGCCACGCAGCCTGCTGCCGGTCCTGCCATCTCTGCTTCCCTCACAGGTGTCTGTCGTCTGACTGGTGGGCGGGATGTGCACACCTGCAGGTAGTTCTGCAGTACCGGCCCTGCACTATATTAACAGCGCATGGACAGCGGAGGGACGCCAGAGTGTTACCGTTGTTGGTATGCCAAATCGGTTGTGGCCTCTAGCCTGCTTACCTTGCTCCTATTCAAAGCCTGCTTTCTGTGTCTCCTAGGTTTCTTCCTTGTCCTCCACTCGTGCCTCCGAGTCTCCCCCTAGACGATTGTCTCCCGGCTTCCTCTGGTTCTCTCTGAGTCAGTTTCTCCGGCCCTGGACACAGGGCTTCCCCGCCGATCTCCTGGTTCCTCCTGCTGTTCTGGATCCCGGATTCCCCGGTGCTGCTCGGTCCCACTCCTGCCCCCGCTCTCTGGTTTCCCGGACACCTGTCACCATCTTCAGGCAAGAGCTGAGTCCACACAGTATTCCTCCCCGGTCGGATTGTCTGCACTCTGTGGTAGGCTCACGTCCCTCAGTATTTTTCCCCACTTAGTGTTCAGCTTTTGGGCTTAACATTTTTCCTTCTCCTTAGACTGATCCGGTTCCCTGGTTCGGCGCTCCCGCTCAAGCTCATTAGTCCTGGGGTCCCGAGTTTTTCTTTAGTTAAATAAACCTTTGAATCTAGACCTGATCTTTTTCCGAGTGTTTTCTGCATGTGGGCCAAACACCTTAAGGCAAACATGACCAACAGAAGGGAAGAAATAATTATGACTAGATTAAGAGTAGGACACACCTATTCAAATGACACTTTACATTTAATAGGGAAGAAAAGTAATAATAAATGTGAAGGATGTGGAGAGAAAGAAAATGTAGAACATGTATTAATGAACTGTAGAACATATGAATCTGAAAGAGAGAATCTAGAAAGAATCTGAAAGAAGGACAGGAAAAGAATGGAGTCTTAAAGCTGCAGTCTGTAACATTGAGAAGAGAGCAGACTTCGACTGAAAATTTGAAGAAAAACAGGTTTCACGCCACTCCCCCACCCTCTCTGCTTCACTCATGCCCCACCTCCAAGCCCCACCCCTCTCACAGCACCTGCGCGGCTACCGCATGCGAAGCAGAAGCGTCCAAGCAGCGTACGCGGCATGGAGTGTGAACCGGTAAGAACGATAACACTCACCTCCAAGCAGCTAGATATAAGATGCTGGTTATACCGAAGTTTGCTGTGTAAGCAGTTGTCGGCAGGGGCAGCAAGGGCAGTTTCTCTTTCGCTGGTGGCTGTCACTCAGCCATGACTTCCACGCGCGTCCTCCTGACTGCAGCAGCCGGGCGCTGCGGCAGGTTAAGCGGTGAGGGGGGGGGAGCTGTGATTGACACTCCATCAGACGCTCCTCTGGCTGTGATTGGTTGTTTTGACTCGTCCCGAATTATTCTTTCCAGATTGAAATACAGGCAGTATGCGGGACCAATTGAAGCTGTTTTTTTCACAGGTTACATATAACATGTACTGCTCTCTGGGCATAGGGACAGTTTTAGCCAATATGACAAAAAAGTGATTTTTAAAAACTTACAGACTTCAGCTTTAAAGGAATATTAGGAAATGAAGGAAACATAATGGATATTTATAGAGTAAGGAAAGCTTTATTTACTTTTCTTAAAAACACAAGATTAATAAATAGAATTCAATAAATGTAGAGAAAATGTTGCTACACACTCGTGGACAGTAGGTGGCGGTATGCACCTAAAAGTTACTTGCAATCCGCCATTAATGAAAAGAAGAAGAAGGATTTTGCTGGTACGTGATCCATGGCTGGACGACGTCCCCCGTTCAACTCGCCTTAAACTTGGACGCGATGGCGACTCTGCAGTCGAACAACTGTGCTGGAGAGACAAACTCAAAGAAGAGAAGCTAGCGGTAAATATATGTTTGATTACTGCCTGCTAAGCTAAAAGCAGCCTAGCCTAAAGCTACGGCTAATAGCAGCCTAGCCTAAAGCTACGGCTAATAGCAGCCTAGACTAAAGCTACGGCTAATAGCAGCCTAGCCTAAAGCTACGGCTAATAGTAGCCTTGCAAGAACAAGCTTTATTAAAGTGTATTTTTTGTGATTCATAGGAAGCAGTACGCCGTCTTCACAACTCGGAGGCTAATTGCAGGCACTATGAACAGGAAATGGATACGGATAGATACCGATCATAGCTGTACATTTTGTTTTCACAGACCTCCTATTTGCTCGGAGCCATATCAGCAAGTCCAGATTTGCACGATGTTGATAAAGACGACATTGCGTGTAAGTGACTTGTTTTAATGTTTTCTCCTTCCTTGTTACTGTGACTTGCGTTTGATTTTTTATTCATACCACTCTCATTTAATTGTTTTCCAGCTGCCTGTAAGACGTATTTTGAGACGGTACGCAGGAGCTTCAGACATACGCAGCCAGCAAACACGTTGCGTGCGGAAGCTGCCAAGCAATCTGCTCGGAGTCGAGCTAGAAGAAAGAGGGTAAGACTTTATTTGGTGACTATTTTTCAGGTGCATTGATAGATGTGTTGTGTCCATACGCAGTGCGCTGATTCATTGTTTTTTTTTCAGCTGCTGAAAGCAAGGCAGAGTGTGCTAGCAGATGAGGAAGTGGAACTCTGGAAGTCCGCCACTGTCGACCTCATTTCCGACGAAGAAGATGGCGTCGTTGGCGGTGTCTCTAGATGGATTGTACGGTCGCCGCCATTTTGTAGGCCGGATCTCACTGAACTCTGTGTTAAGCTGCAGTCCCGGTTAGAAGTGATGCCGAAGTACAGGGCCACGCACAGTAGGCGTCTGCACATTGGACCTGCCTCGGAGGGAATGTTGCCAGTTACCTCCAACCCCGAGGAAGCAAACGGACCGTTCACGGAGTTGTAATTTTTAGATACGCATGTGTTTGGATACGCGTTGTATATAGTTGTGTGTGTTTTAATAAAGCTCTTTCTTTGCATAAACAGCTTCCTGGCAAATGTTCATTTCCTGTATAAATTCATCCATGTCCTTGATGGTAGCCTAATAATTGTGTAGTAGTATAGGATAACATAAATACACACCATATGAATGAATAAATATATGAATGAATAAATATATATTCATAAATAAATGATATATATATATATGTAAATTTATATGTAAATATATATATATGCCAACCAATCACGAGCGACTTTACTTGTTTAAAAAGAAGTGGTTCCGTCCAATACTCAGTAAGAAAATTAAAGCCTAGCATGGCCACGTGTGGTTTTGCTGCCAATCACGAGCGATTTCACTTGTTTGAGAATAGTGGTTTCAGCCAATACTGAGTAGGTTATTCAAGCCAGACCTGGCCAGCCGCGCGGGTTTGCTGCATTCATATGCTAATTAGGGCCATAAGTACAGCTGATCGCTCTCCACATACGTCAGAGTCCGTTCCCGACAATTTGTGGCACTGACAAATGCGGACAAGCGCGGGTTGCAAATTGTCGGAAACTGAAGAAAATCAGGGAGATCTGCGGGAGTTTACGGGGACGAAAATCTCACTTTTCATGCAGTGAATAGTGCTAACAGGCTATTAGCCTTTATATCAACATATACAAACGGCTAATTTAAAAGATGCAGAGGAGTCTCGAAGTGCCCGACCAACGTTGAATTGGAAGCTTTGAACATGAAAGAAGTGAGAACTGAGTTTTCTAACACTGCATGGTTTTCTGTGAGATTTATTGGATAAAATGTTAAAAGTCTTAAAGTTGAATGATGGTTAAATTACATACTATTAAAGAAGCATGTCTAACGTCAGAGTAAATGTGTTACTACATGGGAAGGAAACAGAGAATTGAGCAAATATTCTGCTATAAAGTAAAGTTGTCACAATTTTTTAAGATGAGACCTGATTTTATCATTTTTTTCTGTAAAGCTGCTGAAATAAGAAGCTTCCAGCTGTTACTTTTAAGTATTTCTGTGACAAAAATAAAATTAATAGAAATTAAATAGCCAAACTTTGACAGTTGATAGTTGGCGAAAACTTCAGAAACAATATTTTTAACACGATGTAGCTACTTGATGTCCACTAAGTGTTTGCAAGTATGTGGAAAGATCTAAGTGGGCTGATAGTTTCAGGGCTCTGAAGCCTGCAGTTGGTCTGTATTTATATCAATCATGTGATGCATGTTGTAAAACTACCAGCAGAACAGGTTATAGCATAGCTAAATCTGTTCTCTCTGTGCTGCGTTTTTGGCCAGTACAGCATGTAAGTTGATGTGAAGGGTGTATTTCATGTATGTACATATAGTACTATGTTTCATGTTGTGTTTGGAGGTTTATTGCAAGAAAGGTCACCGAGAAGAGAAGTTTAAAAAGACGCTAGCATAAGCGCTAACTAGCCGCTAGCATACGCGCTAACTAGGTGCTAGCATACGAGCTAACTACCCGCTAGCATACGCGCTAACTAGCCGCTAGCATAAGCGCTAACTAACCGCTAGCATACGCGCTAACTAGCCGCTAGCATACGCGCTAACTAGGTGCTAGCATACGCGCTAACTAGCCGTTAGCGATGCCGCTAGCTAGCGGCTAATGTTAACATGTTGTTTGTGTCATTATGTGTTTCTGTGCATATTCAGGGAATATGTTGAGTTTATTATTTAGGAGAATTGTGCCTGTTTATTTGGAATTGTGCCTGTTTACACAAAGGCTTATGCACATTATTTCTTTGTTGTAGTTTTACCATTCATTCATTCGTCCATACCACCCAATAAATCCAAAGAAAAGGCTTACGGTGTGGTTAATGGAAATGATGGTTATCTACCTGCTAAGCTAAGAGTGAGGGCAGGACGTAAATTATTTTTTTGTGGCTAATGGTCACTAAAATGTTTTTAAGCTCAACATGTCC